CACACCTCTATTTCCACTCCACTCAATCTCCCAGTAACAGCGTCCACACACACTCTCTCTACACAACACCTGATGATACTCATCAAATCTGTCTGGATGATCAGGATAAGTCTGAACTGTGCCAGTGAATGTAATCACTCTGTTTCTCTTAGACAGACGGAGGAGTTTATTCACTGTGTTCAGATCCAGAGTGAACTGCTGGGAATCTGATGGAGAGAAAACACATCAGAATTATGAATGAACACACAAACACGTGACCTTTAACCTTTTCCCACCAGAGTGAGTTTTTTAAGGCGACCGTTATTTTAGAATGTTTCCCTCAAATGGCTAAAGAGTCACTTAATCCGAATACTACTACTATTTCAGTTTCACTAAGCAGCATGGAGGGGAAAAGTATAATTAAAGAAACTTGCAATTGGAAATGGCAATGACTGTAAAACAGGAAGACATTTTTATAATATACAAAACAGGGTAAATCAAAGCAAAATGATACTAAACTTTTTTACTAAACTGATACTAAACTGAGAAGATCAGGTCATTTTAACAAGACTAAGGATGGGTCATACAAAACTTTGTCACTACACTTCATATAATAGGAAAACACAGTACTGGATTATGAGACTAATCCACTTCACACTCAAGCACAGGAGGTGGCGGTATGCACCTAAAAGCTGGTATGTGACCCGCCAATAAATCCACAGAGGAATAAGAAGAAGAATGTTTCCCTTTATTGTTTCCATGGCGACGCGTCACGTGACACACTGCAGTCGCAATAACACTGTATGACAGAAGTGTCACTTTTATTTCATTTTTTGTTTTTTATTCAAAATATTCACAGTTGCTTACCATGTCATCAACTATCTGATACTCCGATTCACAGATACAAGTAAGAGACTGTCTTTTGTCGTTTTTAACCTTTATAAATGATCGTTATCTATAACGTGAGACGGGCGCCGCCAGGTTTGTTCACGCTGCAGTTCAGAGAGTCCTCAATTAATCAGTTTCTCCCGAAATACATGCAAGTAAGTGGCTACAAACAAACTACACTGTGTGCAGAATATGACAGCACTGAAGGATATTGGGTTCCTGGTAGCTTCACGTTTGATTCTTCTCTAATCTTTGGCAGTTAATTTGCACCTTTTTTTCTCAACACGTTTCTTGCGACCCAGTTGACTATTTGCAACAAAACGTTTGATGGTTCTGTGATCACGCCCCAATATCTTAGCAACTGAAAGAGTGCTGCATCCCTCTGAGAGACTTTTCACAATTTTTGACTTTTCAGATTCAGTTAAATTTCTTTTTGGCCCATTTTGCTTGAGGAAAAGAAGCTGCCTAATAATTCTGTACACTGTGTATTCTTCCTGCCAGAGGTGATTCTAGGATTTTCATTTTAGGGGGGCTCAGCCCCCAATGAGAGTATAATAATAATAATAAAAATAATAAATAAATTAAATAAATAATGTTTCACTAATAGGGTAGGGTGGTATTGTCACGTTGCTACTGTGCGGGAGCGAGGAACGAGGAGACCAGGAGTACATCAACACAGGAGATTTTAATGTCTTTAAGGGAACCAGGAAAAACACACGTAGCAGGAAAGGTTGACACATTCACAGACATTCAATACCTGACGCTGGAGACAAGGAAACACAGGGCTTAAGTACAGGGGAATTAATGGGACACACCTGGGAACAAATGAACTGAAAGGGGAACACCTGTAACAAATGATCATAATGACAGGAACGGGAAGGACCAAATAAGGGCAAAACATTCAATACCTGACGCTGGAGACAAGGAAACACAGGGCTTAAGTACAAGGGAACTAATGAGACACACCTGGGAACAAATTAACTGAAAGGGGAACGCCTGTAACAAATGATCATAATGACAGGAATGGGAAGGACCAAATAAGGGCAAAAGGAAACATAGAGTCTGACATTATGTATGATGGGGGTGGGCGCCCTGGAGGCTGGTGCAGGACTGGGACATGGGGAATACCTCCAGGGCGGATCAGGCAGTCCAGGGTGCCATGGCGTAGCAGGGAGCTCAGAAGGCCATGGCGGATCAGACAGTTCAGGAGGCTATGGCGGAAGAGGGAGCTCGGGGAGCCATTCCGGAACAGGCAGCTCAGAAGGCCATGGCGGATCAGACAGTTCAGGAGGCCACTGCGGAGCAGGGAACTCAGAAGGCCATGGCTGGACAGCCTCCGTGGCCTTGGCCTCACCACTCGGCCTCACCACTCGGCCCGGCCACGCCCCCCCAAAAAAAATGATTGGGGAGAACATCGTCTTTAGAGGCCCTCCGTAGGCCTAACTCGGGATCAGTGGCCCTCCCTGGGCTTGACATGGGAACTGGAGCCCTTTCTGTGCTACACTTGGGGACTGGAGACTTCTCTGGGCTAAACTCGGGGACTGGAGCCCTAACTGGGCTAAACTCGGGGACAGGAGCCCTCACTGGGCTAAACTCGGGGACAGGAGCCCTCACTGGGCTAAACTCGGGGACAGGAGCCCTCACTGGGCTGGAGCCCTCTGTGGGCTAAACTCGGGAACAGGAGCCCTCTGTGGGCTAAACTCGGGAACAGGAGCCCTCCGTGGGCTAAACTCGGGAACAGGAGCCCTCACTGGGCTAAACTCGGGAACAGGAGCCCTCTCTGGGCTAAACTCGGGAACAAGGGCCCTCTGTGGGCTAAACTCGGGAACAGGAGCCCTCCGTGGGCTAAACTCGGGAACAGGAGCCCTCTTTGGGCTGGATTCGGGGGCTGGAGCCCACACTGGAACGAGCTCTGGGGCTAGAGCCGACCGCCTTCTCCTCCTTAGATTCCCCTTTAGGTTCGGGGTGAAAGGCGCGGTCGGCAGGCTTGAGTGAGCCGTGGGCTTGACTGAGGAATGGCCCGCGAACTTGACTTTGAAGCGGCCGGCGGGCTTGACGGCAGGCTGGTTCTGGTTCGGGCCCGGACACTCCCCAGACACCGGTAGATCCCTTCCCTCCAGCATAGTCCCTTCGTGTCTGGGAGGTCCATGGGGCGATGGTAGTTAGCCCTGAGCCAGAACAGAGAACTGATGGTGGCGTCATCCAATGCCGTCGCCGCGGCGAGCCCGCAGAATTCTCAGGCGTACTCGAAGAAGGGGAGATCTCGGCGGGCTAAGGCGGAGAACCGAGCGGCTATTTCCATCGCCGTGGGGAGAAATAAACAGGAAACAAAAAAAACTGTTAAAAAAACAGAAAACAAACAAGGGGAGAGGGGGCGCCGCTTACTGTTCTGTATTGGTCAGGTATTCTGTCATGTTGCTACTGTGCGGGAGCGCGGAGCGAGGAGACCAGGAGTACATCAACACAGGAGATTTTAATGTCTTTAAAGGAACCAGGAAAAACACACATAGCAGGATTGACACATTCACAGACATTCAATACCTGACGCTGGAGACAAGGAAACACAGGGCTTACAGTAAGCACAGGGGAACTAACGGGGAACACCTGGAACAAATTATCATAATGACAGGAACGGGAAGGACCAAATAAGGGCAAAAGGAAACATAGGAGGCAAAACACACACAAAACACTGAACAGAGTCTGACAGGTATACTATACTTATTGCAGTATTCCACTGTATTGCATATATCGGTATAGCCAGTGGTGGAAATGGCCAAAATTCACTGGGGGGACTCTAGCTTGGAAAGGGTATAATAATATTAAACTTATTTCATATGGTCTCTAAACCTTCTTGGATATTAAGGCACCTGCAATTCTGGCCAAATTAAAGAATATATATATATATATATATATATATACACAAACAAAGAAAAACAAGTAGAATAGAAAGCTAGAGTTTTTTTTTTTTTTTTTTTTTTAAAAAAAAAAAAAAAAAAAAAAAAAGATTGATTAGTGAAATGAAAGAATGATTTAATAAAAAATCAGAATGATTAGTAATTGTCTTTGAGGGCTTAGCTAAACTAATTGGCCTGTTTAGCTAAGCACTCAAAATGCTTATTATTTAGTGGTACAGTATTGCATGCTTTGCAGATTATATTTAATAGTTTACACTTTGCATAAATGTTTGCAATTCGTTTTTAAAAGGCAACATTACATTCTTAAGGACTCTACACTTACATTTCTTTTCAGGAGCACTTGTGCTCCTACTTAAAAAAAATGTAGGAACACCTTCTGATCAATGACAGAAATTAACCTTCCTATTTATTATAAGACGATATTTGACTCCTTAAAGGTAAAAAAAAAAAAAAAAACCTTTGTAATGCCTCTAACTTTATTACATGCATGCCATATTTTGTGCGAAAAACTTTTAGCAAAAATGTTACTTAAAAAATTTAATTAAAATAATATCATACAATCAGGAAGAATACGTTACTAGTCAGATTAAATCAGCATCAACAAGCATCTTTGCACGGCACAGAAGAGCACAAATGTGGCATTACAGGATTTTTGACAAGACTCAGAGGTGGCATTAATGAATTTCATAATAACAATGTTATGAGATTAATGTTTTAAATATAAAGTTTTGAATATAGAAGTATTAAACGATTTAAATGACTCAATTTATACTTGAAATTTATAAAATGAAACTGAAACCACCAGGTGGCAGCAAGTCACTGGCTGTGTTTGAAATGCCATACTATCATACTACTCTTACTATTTCTGCAGTATCCAGTATGTATGCTGTGCATAGTATGCAAATTTTCTGTATGCATGTAATACCTGGATGACCTACTATATTCGCCAGAATCTGATCACTTTTTAATATATCGCCACTTAGTGTAACTACCAAAAATATCAATAAAGACAGCTCAGTGTTGATTTAGTTCTGTCCAATATGTAAAGTTAATCAATTGTGAAATGAGTTCAATTGGGCAATATAACATTGTTTACTAGTATGAAGCCTTATTAACAAGCCTTTGTAAAAAGAACAGTTAGCTCATTTGTTTCTAATGTAACAACCTTGACAGCTGTGCTGAATTAATGTTCAGTGTGTGTCATGTGACAGCACTTAAGCATACTATTCTGAAACATTTATTTCTTATTGTATACTGTTTCACACACTATTCTTTAAAAAAATAGTAGGCAGTATGCACTGTGTACTGGGCAGTAAGCAGTAAGCAAGTATGCCATTTCGAACACAGCCACTGTCTTTGTCACTGAATCATTCATTCAATTGATTCGTTCAAACAGCTGATTCATTTCGGAACGAAGCAAGTGACTCTCTTTATGAATGGGTCATTGAATCATTGACTCACTAGATTTGTTCAAAAACACAGATTCATTCATAAACAACACAGCTGTGTTTGCTTGGAGATGCGCAGAGGATCAGCTGTGACTTTGTTTGGAACTATTTTCGTTGACGAAATAGAGCACAATCAGGCAACAGTGTTCCTAAAATGTAAGTCACTTAATATTAACTTTTGTTTAAAATAAAAAAATTATAAAATTGTCGTATAAATTCAATTTCACATTTGCAAATCATCTTTATAATCATAAAAAGCTGCCACTCGTCTTAGTTCCCTTCCGAGGGAACTTCGAACTGCGTCCTCTAGGGGTCGCTATGGGGAAAGCCTTCGGCGCGACCAGTGTCTGAAGCATACATCTAAACACGACAATGATATTGGCCGGCGACAACCTATGACGTCACTACCGGCGCGACCACAGTATAAAAGGGCGCTGGTCCTCTCAAACCTCCTGCCCTGTGTACAAGGAGCTGTTTGAGGTTATGGAACGTGCCACGGCAAGGCTTGACTTACTGTGGAAGCGGACTAGGAAGGTGGCGTCTCGCGGCCGGCTCGATGAGCGCTATCTTCCTGACCATAACCCTCTAGCCCAGGTGAGCCTTCCATTTCTTCCTGATCATCATGTGGAGATCGAGAAGACTTGGAAAAATCCGCTCTCTTCGCGTGTCCACAGATTTCAGCAGTCTAGTTATGCCAACATCGAGGGGATTGCGCGAAAGCGAATATGAGAAGGTGCCTCCCATTGAAGAGACGCTAGCCTGCTATCTCGCTATAGGAGAAACATCTTCTCTTAGGACTCCCTCCTTGCCATCCAGACCCCTTCAAATAACATCTCGTCTGAATGGGAAGTCGTACGCAGCAGCGGGACAGGTGGCGGTTTCATTGCATACCATGGCAATTTTGCAGGCTTATCAGGCCGACCTGCTGAAAGACCTGGATAAAGGTCAGGGTCTTTCCCCTGATGAAGTGGCTGAACTGCGCCGCACCACCGATCTCGCTCTCCGTGCCACCAAGCAGACCGTGGCTGCCGTAGGCAGGTCTATGGCAGATATGGTGGTAATAGAGAGACATCTGTGGGTGAACCTGGCTGACATCGGGACGAAAAAGAGGGGCTTTCTCCTTGATGCGCCGGTTTCTCCTTCTGAACTTTTAGGCACTTCCGTTGAGATGGTTGTCGAGAAGTTTAAGGAGGTGAAGGCACGTTCAACGGCTTTTAGGTATTTCATTCCATGGAGGCCGAGGTCTCAGCACGAACAAAGGGGTCCTGGCCCGTCTTGGTCTAAGGATCAAAGACAGGCCCTAGCTAGGCTAGGCTCGCGCCCTTCCTCCACCTGCAAGCAGGTCTAGAGGACAGCACAGGTCGAAGGCTCAGAGGCAAGACTTGAGGGAAGTAATCCAGATGAGGCATTCCCAACGCTCTCGTCTGGATCAGGACGGACCGCCCACTTAAGAGTGTTCACAATCTACCTTTGTCTTCCTCTCCCAATTCCCCTGTTAACCCTTTCCTTCCCTGATCAAGGTTAACCTCCATGCACTGGTATTACAGTCTCCGGCTGGACCTATGATGTTCCGGTTAGTTTCTATGTTTTTAAAAACATAGAGCTACCTACTGAAGGTCTGGGAGAGACAGGCACGGGAGCCATGGTGGGTGAGTATGATACATGTCTTTTAACCTGTTAACCCGCACCTGGACTCTGGCGCACCGAATGCTCTTTGTTTGCACGTGTCATTGTTTACGAATAGATTAAATTAAAAGGGACATAATTAATCTTGACAAACTATATATCAACCTAAAGGTCTAAGCCTAAAGCATCGACGATAGATCGCTGTTTTTCAATGGAAAGCTTATAAAGAATGTATTTGCTAAATTTGTGTAAGCAGTACACATCAAAACATGCATAATCAAAACGCAGTACGTACCAGATTCATCGTAATAACGAGTCATAAACGCATCCACAGCTATAAATCCCGGTTTAGTTAGAAAGGTAAGGGTCCACTGAACAACATCCCATAGAGCACTTTTAGTCCAACGAAGAAATAACGTTGTAATATGGATGATTATTCCTTTGTTTACGTCTCATTTCTTCGGGGACAGTTATTGTTTGTATCCGTTATGGAATAACTTACGCTCAAAAAACTGCATCTTGGTAGTAAAAAGCAACATGGTTTTGTAGCATACAGTGTCACAAAGAGAATGAGACCATCCACTAAAAGAAAAGTCAAAGATACGCGGAATATTGTTTATTTGAATTTTGGCGCTCTCTCGTGACGGCTCATGGCGCACGCCGTGATGCACCTGTCATCTGATGGGGGCGTAACTTAGCGATCGGCTTTTTGCACAAATAAAATTTTTTTTCTTCTTCAACATTTTTCATATATGTGTGTGTGTTTTGTGGGGAATGTGGCTGTATCTGCATGATCCCTATCTGTATGACCGCACATCAGCGTGTGATTACTGAGTGTATGACAGCTATCAGTGTGAATGCGACATAGAGGGGACTAGACATAGTCTCAGAAAAATGGTTGCAGAGATCTAATTTTTCATGGTATCGTCTTCAGATTTGTAATAGAAACTCATGAGACATGTGACTTTCAACCCATTACTTTTTTGGATTGCTCCAGGACTGATTTCATGTATTTTTATATGAAATTCAAAAAAATTAAGTGTGGTACAATTTTTTTCAAGGCACTTCAGTGTCTATAACTTTTTATCTTTTTGAGCATTATCAACTGATGGATAGTAAAGCCCAAATGGTCTTCTTTCCAAAGACACCAAAATTGTGTGTGTAGCACACTGAAGTTAGGAACTGTTACAATTTTAAGTTAGGTAGGTCATTTTCAGCTGTGAGTCCCAAAATGGGGGGTGCAGGTTAACAGGTTAAACTGTTGCTAGTTGTATTATTATCTGACTAGCTTTTTTATGCAGCGCCATCCTGTTCTGTTTTATTGGAACATCTCAGTCTCTGCTGAGATTCCTTTATCTAACATGTTTGTTATTCTATTTCATTCCTAGATGGAAGCATTTATTTCCTCTTCTAGTGAGCTTCACTGAAGATGCATCACTTATGCTAACGGGCAGGATCCTGACAATTCCTGTCAAATTTCGTACTGGCTGGACTCTGACTCCGAGTCGTTAGTTATCACGTCCCCAGTATGGCGCTGCAACCTCAGGACCTGCGGGCCTTTGAAGTTTTTTCTCCCAGGTTGAGCTCATTTGGAGGCACTGTCTCCTGTCATGCTCCCTGGGCTGCTCGGTCTTGCCCTGAGGGGCTTAGACCTGAGCTTGGGTTGAGATTGAGGACTTACCTCAGCCTGAGGGCCAGGAGCACAGCTCTCGTAATTCCAACAGTTGATCACATCAGGTAGCTAGGCCTTTTTTGTGGCCTCCTTGGTCTACATATTTATGGCGAGGAGCCTGCAGCTCTCCTTTTTTGGCGCGTTCGGAGCATGGTGCTCCACTCACTGCGGGAGGGTCATTCCAACCGGAATGGAACGTTTGTTTCTCCTCTCTGCGGAGTGTAGAGCATCTTGGAGAGCTGGGCCTTCTGCCCCTCTAGATGCTCTAGGCGGAGCCTTCAGGTTGTTAGGCCTCTTGGCCTCCCTGCTGGGCTATATGTCCCTATTTAGTTCTGAGTTCTCCTCTTTTCTGTTGAGTGGGTTCTCCACTTTCTGGAGTGGAGCAGCTGTGGTTGAGGCCTATGTCCTTCAGGGCTTTATGGAATAGTTGCAGGTCGTTAGGCTTTCTGCCTCCCTGTTATTCTACTCTTGTGGAAAAGAAGAGAAGACTCCTTTTCGCCTCCCTGTTCTGGCTGCTGTTTTGGTTGAGCCTAGCAGTGCTCCCTTATTCGAGGGTCATTTTGAGCATATTGCTCCCAGTTGAGCTTCTATGGTCTCTTCCGCTCCCGGAGTTGGTTGTTTCTCTGCTTAGAGCCTAGTCTCGGTCATGTCAGGTGCACACGCTAGTTCTCTGTGCACTTCCTTTAATTCCATAATCATGGTAGATGTGCACGCTGGGCCTTTGCGCACCTTTCTAAATCCTTTTGGTAAGAGTGACGTGATGCTGCCTCGTCCCCTTTCTCTGAGTTGTCTCAGGCCCCGGATCCTTACGTGGGCCTCACTCTCCTATATATCTCTGATGATACTGGTATGGTTGTATGTGTTTGGAGCCATTGAGCAGCAGCCTCAGGTTCTTTGGCCCCTTTCGGCCTCTTGTTAGTCTGCTCTCTTTGTTGGTGAGTTTAGCAGTGCACCCCTCACCTTTGAGGTTTACCTTTGAGCACGCCACTCCCAGTTGAGCGTCTGAGGTCTCCTCTCATTGGGTCCTCCGCTCCTTGGAGCTCCACTGAGCAGCAGCCTCAGGTTGTTAGGCCTCCTTCGGCCTCCCTGTTAGAATGCTCTTTTTGTTGGTCGAGCTTAGCAGTGCTCCCCTCACTTAGAGGGTCACCTATACGCACGCTGCTCCCAGCTTGAAGTGTGACTGTTTTGGTTGAGTTGGTGATTCTCCCCTCACATGGAGGGTCTTTCTATGAGATACACCTTTTTCAATCTACATGCGGCCTCCTGCTGAATTATTGTTGGGTCACAGTCATGTAGGGTCTAGGCCTGTCTAGGGGAGAGGTTCTTAGTTACCCTTTAGTAACGGTGTTGCTAAATCCATGCTATGGTAAGTGCACACGCTCAGCTTCTGTGCACTTTCTAAAATCCACATTGTGGTAAGTGAACGCTTGGAATTTAGCACACTTTCTAAAATCCTGTATGGTAAGGGTTACGCGCTGTAGCCTCGTTCCCTTTCTATGAGTTGGTTAAGCCCCGGTTTTCACCTTGGACTCCACTCAACCTATGTCTCCCTGTTGGTTCATTACGGTATTTCTAAATCTATGGTAAGTGCTCACGTTAGTTCTCTGTGCACTTTCTAAGTCCATATTCATGGCAGGTGCGCACGCCAGCCTATGTGCACCTTCTTAGAAGCTTTTATTGTAACGGTGAGACGTTGTTGCCTCGTCCCCTTTCTTTGAGTTGGCTCTGGCCCCGGTTACCTTGGGCCCCACTCTCCGCATATTCACTTTCTAGACAGGGTGTTACTACTAAGTTTCCCTGGGTATCTTGAGATCCTCGGTAGCTCGTTCTTAGAGCAGGAGGTAGTCTCTGTTTGACAGACCAGGATATGGGGTTGTAAGTAGCCCTGATACTCGGCCTTATCCCCTTAAAGGAATCCTTGGTTATTTTTTTATTCCAGGCTTGAGCTTTGCTCTGGGCTCAGGCTGTATACAAGCCAGCCCTTACAGGTTAGTTTGGTGCACAGCTCAGGCCTTTGGCCGTAGGGGGTTATGTCACTGACAGCCGTCAAACGTCCTAGGGGCAGCTCCTTTGACTTGTTGAGTTGGTAATTAGTGCTCGCCTTGGTATCGGCATGCACTCCCCTTAGCATGGCAGCGTGGGTATACCATTCCCCATAGCGACCCCTAGAGGACGCAGTTCGAAGTTCCCATGAAAGGGAACGTCTCAGGTTAGTTATGTAACCATGGTTCCCTGAGTAGGGAACGAGACACTGCGTCCTCTAGGTTTCTTGCCATGCTGCGGACGCA